TTACATGTTTCTTCGAAAAGCTTTGACTTAAAATTCGTTCCATTGTCTGTTATTAGAACTCTAGGTATATTAAATTTTGCAAAAATTTTATTAAATAACTTTCTTGCCACCGTTGAAGCTTCTGCATGTGGTAACGCAGTACAATACATATACTTTGAGAAATTATCTTGAAAGGTTAAAATGAGTTTATTTCCATTTTCTGTGGTTGGTAATGGACCTACTATATCTATGAATACTTTGTCAAATGGTCTTTGGGGTTTGTCAGTTAGAATCAGTGGAATTCTTTCCACTTTTGAGCGTTTATTCTTTTGACATTTATGACAACCTCTTATGTATTCCTTTATTTGTTTTTGCATGCCTGCCCACTTAAACTGCTGTCTTAATCGGAAATAAGTTTTAGTTACCCCTTTATGACCTCCGATTGTTGAATCATGAAATTTTTTCAAAACTTTCTGGATGTCTTTTTTGTTTGTTAAATATACTGCAATGTCTTCATGTGTATTAGTTATTAAATCCTCTAATTCCTCTTGGTTATTTACTGCAATTTTTTTTAAAGTTTTCGCTAGTTCTGCCTCCTATGCTTTACAACAGCTATTGGAAGTCTACTTAAAGCGTCAGCATTTTTGTTAGATTTTCCGGGCTTATAAAAAATTTCGAAATCGTACCCTACTAACTTTAAACGAAATCGTCCCAGTCGCGTATCTTGATTCTTTAAATTAGCAATTTCACGTAATGGTTTATGGTCCGTATATATTTTAAAATACCTTCCCAATAAGTATGATCTGAAATTTCTTGTAGCCCATACTATAGCAAGTAATTATTTTTCTATAGTTGAGTATCTTTTTTCAGTACTCCTGAGTGCACGGCTTTCGAAGTAAATGGCTAAGTCTGATCCAACTTCTCCTTGGGATAGTACTGCACCTAATGTTTCGTTACTAGCATCCGTTGTTTTCAAAAATTCTTTTAAAAAATCTGGATACTCTAAAATTGGTGAACTGGTTACTGCGGCTTTCAACTCGTTCATTGCTTTTTGGCAACTTTCATTTAATTCGAATTTTTCTCCATTTCTCAGCAATTTGTTTAATGGTAAAGATACCTTAGCGGCTTGTGGAATAAACTTTCTGTCTGACCGAAGGCTTTTCTTTGATCTGAATAAAATTAAATGTTCACAAATAAAAGCAAATGTAAGAATCTCACCAACTATACAATCTCACGAAAAAAGAACAAGAAAAACACATGACTTTCTTTAGCAAGAGTAAGCGACAAACTAAACTTTTTTATTTCTTAAAAAATTGCAGAGACTCAACAAGTCTAGTTTAACATTTTGTTTTTGTGAAAATTATATAATTTTGAGTAAAAGTTCAACCCAATACTTTCTATAGTAATTTTTTAGACCTAAAAATGATTGCTGATCTTTTATATTTTTAGGTACTGGGATAGATGTAACACATTTCGTTTTTCCTAGATCCGGTATCACTCCTTTGTCTGACTATTTATGGCCTAAGTATACGACTTCTCTCCTCAATAGTTGACATTTTTCAGTTTGTAGCTTTAAATTGTTTTTACGAAGAACTTGTAATACATTTCTAAATCTTTTGTCATGTTCTTTTAAATTTCATCATCCAGATATACAAAACAATCAATTCCTTGAAGCCCTGTGAGAATGCTATTCATTATGCGTTGGAACGTTGCGGGTGTTCCCGTTAGTCCAAGTGGAATCCGAAGATATTCAAAATGTTCAGATCCAGTACTAAATGCTGTTCTTTCTCTGTCTTTGCCGTTAACTTTCGCTTGATGATAGCCACTAGCTAAATCCACAGTTGTGAAGTATCTACTGCATCCCAATTGATCCAAAATACCATCTATCCTCGGATTTGGAAAAACTTGTTTGATGGTTTTTTCATTTATTTTTCTGAAATCTACCACCAAACGCCATTTCTTTTTGCAGTCTGTACCAGGTTTTTTAGGTACTAGAATTATCGGTGAATTCCATGGTGACTTGCTTTTGGTTATTATTCCTTCCTCTAGAAATTTATTCACTTGTTTGCTTATCACTTCTTCATGTGTTTCAGGCAGTTTATATTGTCATTGGTTAATTGGCATTTGACCTTGCTCCGTCGGAATCTCATGTTTCAACACTGATGTATATGTGAGTCTATCCCTTGGTAAATGAAACACATCACTGTATTCTTTCATTATTTTTGATATCAACCTTCTTTCCTCTGTATTTAAATTTCTGTCCAAATCCACTGTTTTTAATAGCAACCACTAACGTTTATTTATGTTAAGTTTTTTATTTAAATTCACATTTGGTAGCTTGTATTCATAAAAATCAGCCATACAACTATCTTCTATCGCAATTTCTGTACTTATTTCAACAGAATCAATATTTGCATTTAAAATTTTCACGTAACCTATATCATTTATTACTTTAGTAAGGCACCCTCCTAAATAAACCTTTGGCAAAATTTCTTTTTTATGAACTATTACTGTTCCTTTTTTAGGCGCTTTTTTAAATGGTACTACCATTGTTGAGGGGATCGTGATACATTCAGTTATACAAATCCGAACGTGATCTCAAATGTAAAGTTGCTACCTCTTTTTCATTATCATGAAATTTTAGCACCTTTTGAATTATGTCCATTGTTGAACGGTTCCATAGTTCATCTCTTCCCAACTGTCTATCTATTGGTATCTGGCTTCCCACTGGAACTATATGCATGTTAAATTTTAACTCTGAAAGTTCTCCATGCTCTATTTTTGCTGTACCCAATGTACTAATGTTACCACCAAAGGCACCTATCAGTCCCTTTGTATTGCGTTTATTTACATCTGTTTTATTTAATAACTCTTTATTAATTTTCAACTACTCCCAGGGTGTTGAAAAAACTGACACTATTAATATACATATAATTAGTATATGGGTCATTCTTTTACAAACCGGACGGATTTTGGCAAAAAATGACCTCATCACCTCCGATTTGGCTGAAACTTTTTTATGAGCTCCTTTCATAAAATAAGAAGACCCGTATCTCGGGAAAAAATTTTGTAATTTTTTTCCTAGGAGATATGGACCCATGGGGTTTTGAGAATTGGCATTGTAGACACATTTTCAAATGGCTATATCTCAAGTTCTATAAAAGGTAGAAACTTGAAATTTATTGCGTTTTAAAGATAATTGGTTGAGCTTTTAAGAAATTGTTTAAACAATTAAGATTGTTTATATTTAAGTACTAATATTAACCGTTAAATTTCAAAAAAAAAGATATCTCAAAAGGGTACACAACATTTTTCATTTTTTATATTTTATTTAGATTTAGTTTTAAATTTTACTAAGAAATAAAAATTTTCACGATAGCATCGATTTTTATAAATTTTTTAAATTTTTTTTTCTCATAAAACACATCAAACACATGCGTGCTATATTTACATTGAATGAATTTTCAAAAAATATACTACAAATATTCTTATATAATATTTTTGATTTCAATTAGTAATAAAATTGTACATAAAACTCAAAAATTTCAGGACGATATTGTCGTGGGAAGTACTTTTAAAAAATTTATTTATCCTTCACATCACTCCAAACACACACACACGATTTTTCAGTAAAAAAAAAAACAGAGGAATATGTCACACAAATTTTTCATTTTTACTTTTAATTCCGATTAAACAATAAATTCTTCTTCGAAGATAAATATTTCCAGTGTGATATTGCTTCCAGAAGTAATTTAAAAATATTAATTTATCAAGTGTCCTTCATGTTACTCATACGCACCATAATACCCTTGAATCAATTTTCCAAGAAAAGTGACACAATATTCACATTTTAAATTAGTTCCGCATCATCTCTATTTTTAAATTATGAATTTTAACATAATTAAACCGTTTTATGAACTTTTTCTTATATTGATGAGTTTAAAAATTAATTAGTTCCACACTAGCTGAACTACCTGTATAACTGCAGCACATAAGTACACCCACCTTCTATGGTGAGTGTTATTCTGCTACAGTTGGAAAAATTCTTTAAGCAGGTAAGAACTGCAAACAGTTTGAAATGGAGTGTCTAGGTACTCCTATCTTTAAAAGATCCAGTATCAAATTTGGTATAAAATGTTAAGTAAGTCGGATAAATTTTCAGTTTCTGTTTTGAAAGCGAACAAACAAGTAAGAACATTTAAATAATGGCAAAAGTTGAAAAAAATAAATTGCATCTACGGCAATTCAATGACTTAAAATGTTTCAATCCGCTGAAGTTAAAAATACATCCAAGAAAGGCCAAAGTAAGGCAAGTTTCAGATAGTATCCTGCGTATGTTGGGGATGCCTAGGACCAAAAAAATATGGGGAAAAAAATATGTAACAGTTGCCGAATGAGACTGGCGATGAGAGCCAAAAAAAATAAGAACAATGAAGGAGCTATATCGGAAAACAGCAGCCAGTCATCGAGCGAGGAAAATATTCAACCATCAAGTAATAGCAGTTCGGCTACATACGAAACTGAAGTCAGAAAAAGTGCTATTAGTCCATTAAATAAAGCACTCTCTCTAATAAGCAATACCCCAATTACATCGAGAAAACTTAAACAATAGGAATATAAAAATGAAAAAATAAAGGATATAACTGAAGCGATTAAACATAAAATTTTCAACATTCCTCCCGATGAGTCCAA